AGAATGACAATTTTCCAGAGTTCACCCAGGCGATCTACAATGCAGGCGTGCCCGAGAATAGCGATCAAGGCACAATCATCACCAAGGTGGAAGCGATCGATGTTGATTCCGGAGATTTCGGAACTATGGGCATACGATATACGAATCTAAGAGGCGGCATTGCACATCTGTAAGACCATTCACAACATATCAAATCAAAGTCTAAACTCCTAGGAAATTCACAGATTACATCTGCATCCCATAACGGGTGCAATAACCATCAAGACACCGGGCAGTGCTGCCTTCGATCGAGAGATCATTTCCCGTCACTATTTGACAGTCGAAGCCATCGATAATGTGGGTCAGGGCAATCGGAATACTGCTCAGATCATACTAGACATTCAGGATGTCAACGACAATGCGCCCATCTTTTTGCATCGTCAGTATGAGGCAAAGCTCTTGGAGAACAAGGGCGAGTTTGAGACGCCGCTCCAGGTGGAGGCGCGCGATCTCGATCTCAATGGCACCGAAAACAGCCAGATAACCTATGAGATCGTCGAAGGACTCTACCGCATGAACTTCACTATTGATCCGGAGAGCGGTTTGATACGGCCCCTACATCATTTTGACTATGAGGAACTGGTGGAGAGCCATCGACACGCTGTGCGCCCGACCAATGCGGATATGCGAGAGATCGATCTGCTCGTACGCGCCCGGGACTCGGGCATACCAATGCTGTCCACTGTTGTGCCCGTTCTTATCTATTTGCAGGACGTCAACGACAATCCGCCCATCTTTCAGAAGAGCTTCTATTCTAAGACCGTGCCCGAGGATCTTCCAGGTGGCAGCTCGGTGCTTCAGGTGCTGGCCATCGATCGCGATGGCTCCTCGCCCAACAATGCGATCGTTTATCGCATACAAACGGGCGCCAGTGACAAGTTTATCATAAACTCGGAGACGGGTGTCATAACCGTGGCTCAAGGGGCCAACCTGGATCCAGATCTGACCGAAAGCAAGCGTCTGATCTATACCCTGAATGTGGTAAGCTTTGAAAAAGAAAACAATCCAATGCTCGCTGAGATTATTGAAGTCTTTGCTCCCTTAGCTTGCATTGGACGGTGGCCTGGGCAACTCTCAGATGATGAACACGGCAACGGTTAACATTAGCATCAAGGATGTAAACAATAAGCCCCCCATGCTGCAGGACTTGCCTGCACTGAAGATAGTGGAAAACACACCCGTGGGCACCTTAGTCTATCAAATAAAAGCTACAGATCCCGACCAGAATCCCATTTTGCGCTACAAGCTAAACGCGGCGCATTCCGAGGCACGCAACGAGGAGGGCGCCCTGGTGAAGATAAGTGAATATGATTATCTGGGAGCTTTCGATCTAGATGCTATACAGGGCTATTTGAAGGTCATCAAGTTATTGGATCGCGAGAAAGTGGAGCACATCAAGCTGGCCATAACTGTTGAGGATTTGGCAGCTGCCAAGGGCAAGCAGATTGTGGAAAGTATGTACATCAATCTTGAGTCCAAACAATACAATTTAACAATCCCAATCCTCAGCTTTCCTAGCAATTCAAATACAGGACGAAAACGATAATAATCCCAAGTTCAGGCAGCCGTTCTATAGGCAAACGATCACCGAGAACAGCATCAATGGCGTCCTGATTGCCACTGTGCTGGCCTATGATGTGGACAAGAATCGTACGATCAGCTACGCCCTGGAGGGCAATCCCATCTATCGTAGTCTGGTCCACTTGGACGCACAGACGGGCGAGATTGTGGTGGCCAGCAAAATCGATCACGAGCAGCATCAGTGGCTCAACTTCAGCGTGCGAGCGACTGATGCGGGCCTGCCGCCCAGATCGGCTCTGGTGGATGTCTTTGTCAGCGTCCTGGATGAGAACGACAATAATCCCTACTTCATAGGTGGCAGCAAGAACTATACGATCAGTGAGAGCGCTGCCCCAGGCACTCGAGTGGCCACCGTGCAGGCGGCCGATGCCGATGCGGGCGACTTTGGCAAGATCACATTTCTCATGGATCGCATCAGTTCGCAGGGCAAGTTTACTATAGATGCTGATACGGGCGTCTTAAGCGTGGCCGATAAGCTCGATCGCGAGACGAAGGATTCGTACAATCTAGTGATCGAGGCCTGGGACAACTATCAGTTTGGCTTCTTAGCCGGCGAGAGTCGGAATGCATTCAAGCAAGTGTTGTAAGTGAACTTAGGGGAGCTTAAGGACTCGTACCCATTCTATCTAATAATGAAACTTTATTGCCAGCATAAACATATTGGATGAAAATGATAACGCACCTGAGATCAGTGTGCCCAGCAGCTGCATTCTGATCACCGAATATCATGAGCTGCATGAAAGTATTGCCAGCATTGTGGGCAAGGATGCCGACGATCCAGCCACACCAAACGGACGGCTGGAGTTCGCCATCGGCAAGGGCAACAGAGAGGGTCTGTTCGAGCTTAGGCAACTGGACCCGTGGAACGCTCAGATCTATGCCAGTAAAACACTGCGCAATAAATTTGGCAACTACACTCTGACCATCAAGACAAGGGATTTGGGCGTGCCTGCAAATCTGGTATTGAATACACTGGACATCTGCGTTTCGGACTTCAACGACAATGCACCTGTGTTTGTGAGGCCCTTGCACAACACCACGATCCGCATACCCGAAAATGCTACCGTCGGCACCATGATACTGCAGGCGTATGCAAGTGATGCGGACATTGGGCAGAATGCGCTGGTGCGCTATCGCCTGAAGCCCGATCCTCTAGGCAGCTACAAGCTGTTCGAGCTGAGAGCTAACACGGGCGAACTGTTGCTCAAGGAGCGCTTGAATCGGAACAAGCAGAAGATGCATGAGGTCAGTCTGGATTAGTTTTTAACAATCTCAAATCTAAACATTCCAAATTCTTCCATTCAGATTAGAATCGAGGCCTACGATCAAGGCTTGCCCACCTCCCTGAGCACAGATCTGGATCTCACCATCTACGTGCGCAACGTGAACGACTACGAGCCGCAGTTTATTGTGAACGAGATCTCGGTGAACTTTACGGAACACTCTGATCCAGGCGCAGAGCGCATCAAGCTGCCGGATACCATAGATAAGGATGAAATGGAACTGGATGATCCGGAAGAGTCGCCCACCCAGGTTTGCTACTTCATACTGCGTGGCAATGAGGCAGGCTACTTCCGCCTGAATCCGGAGAGCCATGTGCTGACTGTAGAGCGCGAATTGGATCGAGAGCTGATTGCCAACTTTACGTTGTATATAAAAGCCACAGAGAACTGTGCCAATGACACGCTGGAGCAGCATGGCCGAGGACTTGAGATTGAAAACAAAGTGAATAGCGGGCAGAACCAGTTGAACTATGATCGCTTCAAGCACTCGCGCCATTTGCGCGGCATTAGCCTGGAGTACGAAATGTCCACATCCGCCGAGCCGGAGGCGCTGCTATCCTACGATAGCTATGTGGATGCCAACAGTGCTGAGAAAGTGGACAGCACCGTTGTGTGTGTGCGGGTGCGTGTGCTGGACATCAATGACAATCCGCCAAAGTTTCGCTCGAAGATCTTCACCGGTGGCATCACGACCAGCGCTGACTTCGGCCAGAGTTTCATGCGCGTGGAAGCCTTTGACCCGGACGAGGGTGAGAATGCGAAAATCGCCTACTATCAGGTGGGCGACATAAGGCAAACCTTATCCGAAGGCCTCGAGAACGTGCGCAAGGCACCCTTCCTCATCGATCGCAACACTGGCGAAGTGCAGCTTAACTTCGATCCACAGAAAGGCATGAAGGGCTACTTTGACTTTATGGTGCTGGCGAACGATACGCTGGGCATGCGAGATGTGGCGCATGTCTTTATCTATCTGCTGCGGGAGGATCAGAAGGTGCGGATTGTCTTTCGACTGCAGCCGGACGAGCTGCGCTCCAGAATCGATACATTCAGAGAGTAAGTATCTTTATCCTTCCCTAACTTTCCTTACTAACCTTCACTTGATAGCACGCTGGGCAACGTGACCGAATCCATTGTCAACATCGATGAGATCAAAGTGCATGAAAACAAGGATGGTTCGGTGGACAAGACGAAGACGGATCTATATATGCATTTAGTCGAGCGCGAGGATAACTCCATATACGAAGTATCGGAGGTGCTCAAGCTGATAGACACGCACATCGAGAGTCTGGACGATCTGTTCAAGGATCTCAATGTATTGGACACGCAGCCCGCCGAGGCGCAACTGCTCATGGCCAGCCCGACCCGAGGTGCCATGTTCGTCTGGCTGGTGTTCACAAATCTGTTCCTGGCCTCACTCCTGGTCGTCACACTGGCGCTGTGCGCCTCGCAGCGCAAGGGCTACAAAAGACAGCTGCGCGCTGCCAAAGTCAACATATTTCGTAAGCTAAACAAGAACACAATCCCGCCGACTGCTAATCCTTTTAAACTACCACCAGGTGGACACTCTTCCACATCGCTGCAGCATCCCCCTGAGCCAGCGACACGCGTGCCCAATACCAACAAGCATAGCGTGCAAGGCTCTAATCCCATTTGGCTGAAGGGATACGAGAACGAATGGTTCAAGACCGAGGAAAATCTAAGGTTAGCCAAATAATAAGAACTCTGTATAGACAGATCTTAAAACTGACTCAACTTTGCTTACAGCGTTGGCGGCCAGGACTCTTTGGATGATAATTTTCTGGCCATTGGCACACAGGACCTACGCGAAACCCTCAAGGGTACTGCCAAATTGTTTAACAATACGAATGACCTGAATCGGCATTTCAATTTGTACAACCAAATCGACAAACTAACGAATAATGCTCAAATCTTAGCGCGTAAACTGGAGACTACAGAGTTATAGCGGGCGCAGGAGCCTTAGTATGCTGCAATCTATTTATTATACCTAGGCTTAAGATTAATTAGCTCATAAGCGTATCTTAAGATTGGAAACATGTAAATATATATTTGGTAAAAAACAATAAGACCGTTACTTACTGTAGTTAATTTCTTGCTTGCGATATTGCACAGTTTAGAAGAATGCGTTTTTTATAATCCTAGTGTTCCCTCGTATTTCCAGACATAAAAAATATAACATTAATAGCTGCGCCATGGAAAGTTAAGGCTTCGTTAGTAATCGACAAAAGGCAAGGCTAAGAATTCTGAAAAGTTAGGATCGGCACTTACCACGTCCGTGTCTGTCCTCCAATTCGCCGAAGATTATAAATATATAAAATATTTAGTTTTGTTACGACTACTTTAACAGGTAGGCATTTGTAATCATTAAACACCTTGCCTACTGGGCAACAAAATACAATATCGTCATAAACTGTTTACTGTATATATCTATCAATCCGTGACCTTAACCAACTGGTTTCTTTTTGATTTCTTTTCTGTTTAGCTTGGTTTGGTTTGGTTTGCTTTGGATTGGTTTGGCGTGGCGTGGCGTGGCTTTGCTTGGCTTGGTTTGCTTTGGTTGGGTGGGCTCTTTGGCCAAAGCAGACCAAATTCGCTGCGGAATTGGCTGTCCTGTTTGGCTATAACGTTCTGCTTTGTTTTTTTGTTTTTCTTTTTAATGAAAAATTTAATAAGCAAAAATTTCAATTGCAATTCCAAAATTTAAGCTGGCCGACCACAAAACGAAGAAAGGCAAAACCTTGATTGATCGCTATAACGCGGCTTTACTGTTTTTTTGAATTGGAACTATGCGTGTATGTGTTTAGACGAAGGAACTGGATTATAGTCAGAAAGTTGTGTTGTTTGATTTATTTTGTCTCGCCAGCTCGTTCTGACAGTCTGCAAAAGCTTGCTACGAAACGCTCCGACATGAGACGCCCAACTGAAAACTAAAGCAAATGTTCAATTGTCAACAAAAAATCAAACGATTTTTTTTCATTTACATAAAATATTTGAAACACAAATCAAATAGATCTAACACATACCATACGGTATGATAAGGAATTCTTATTTTGATTGAAAGCTTAAATCAAACACAACTTCGAATTATTCCAAACCCAACAGCAATAGTTTTCTTTATACATAGATTGGTTGGATGGTAAAGACAGATATTCAAATTCATAAACAAAAACTGCGATTTTTTTGCCAGAAATTTTCGTATAAAACACTGAGTTGCAGTTGCCATAAAATCAATATTTTTATTTTTTTTTCTATTTTTATTTTCTTAGGCTTATAATATATATATTTCTTTTTTTGTTTAATATTTTTTCGTTTATAATAATTACACAAATTAGATCACAAAAATGCATGTAAACTACAAAAAAATGATTTGAACCTCGAACCAAATAAAAATAAAATTCAAAAACTTTTTGAACCAATCCTTGTTTTTGGCCGAGTTGAAACGTGGAGGTGTTTTTGAATGGATGGGCTGATTCTATCTTCTCTTAACAAATACATCTCCATGTATACGTTAAGATATATATATATATATATATATAAAAGGTTCGTTTGAATACAAAACGTAAATAATATAATTAAGTTTATATTTAAAAGAATACATTGTTTTTTAGCTTCGCAAAGAATTTTGTTCGTGTTACTTGCACAGCGAAAAAAGTATTTATTTGTATATATATATATATATATATATTTGAATATATATTTGTAAACTAGTTGCCAACTAAAGTTAACTAAATTAAGTTAAATTAAATTAATGCCAAAGATCAATCAAATCAAAACAGTACATATAAAGATATAGAGATAGATAGAAAGAGAGAGGATTAATATACACGTGTTTAATATAATTGTATATATTTATGTATACATATATATATATAGATATATATATATATATATATATATATATATATATATATATATACATATATATATATATATGCATGTATTTATATTACAGTTTTGTCTACTAAGTTTAAAGTACGAGTGGTTCCCTTCTTGTACACGTCCATAGCGAAGATCCTCAATGTGCGATGCCTAGGCATGATGTAAATTGAATGCATGATGCATACATAATTTATATAATTTGATGTATTCATATTTTGTTTTTATTAAACGGTTTCTCTCATTTAATACTTTCAAAGATGACAAATGAAATATTACAATGGATGGGTAAGTCGATGTCAATGTATGTATGTCTACGTATGTGTATGTGTGCGTGTTAGTGTGTGAGTGTGTGTGTGTGGAGGTGGGCGTGTATCTCGGGGCGTTAAATGATTTATATTTAAAGCGTAACAGTTTTCTTGTATGTATTTGTGGGTACATCATGTGTATGTGTGTTTTGTATTTTACTTAGGCTAAATAATTTTACATTTCAGTATATAAAGTATGTATATAACTCTATTTAATATGTAATCGTTAATTTACATATGTGTGTAGTACATAGACCAAGATCGAAAAGTAAAAAGAATCTTCAAATATTTGAAAATTGAATTACTTAATCCTTCAAATCAACTACGAACAAAATCAGTTTTGTGTTTTTTTTTGTTTTTTTTTTTGCGAACTTAAAAGCCAAGTTGCATTTTGATTTTGTCAGTTGGTTTCATTTAAATTAAAGCTTACATAGGTCTGTGTATTATATATATATATTTATACATATATATATATGATGTATTTATGTATATTTAGTAATACGATTCGCGGTTTCAAACTATGTAATCCCTTGTACGTTTATGTGTGTGTATGTGTGTGTGTATTGAAACATAAACTAAAAAAATGTAAATTCTTTTTGCTTCTGCTGCTGTTGTTACTGTTGTTACATTTCTCATTTAAAGTGGTTTGATGTAAATGCGCCTATAAAATCAAAATTAAACAAATTCTATGCCTATTTAGAACTTAACTTTTCTATGCGATATTTAGCATTTTTTCACGCTTTCAAATTCAATTTTTTTGCTAAGATTTCCTACGCTTGTTTCATTATTTTCTCCCTTTTACTGTGTGGGTGTGTGTGAGTGTTACCTGCATTCTACATTTCTTTCACAATTTGTTAATTCTTAAATGTGCCTGTTGTACTAACTCATAAAATTAAGTTAATAACTTTAACGCTAAGGTTCCACGCGAATTTACATTATATTTTCTTGTATTTAAGTGTATTTTTAATTTTTTTTGTTATAGTTTTTTGTTTTTTGTTTTTTTGGAATTTTTTTGAGAATTTTTTGCATTAACACGAATTATTTATATGCTGCTTCAGTTATATTATATATGTATAGCATACTATACATACAAACATATATAGAAATGTATTCTAGACAAGAAATTGGAGTAGAGTGAATATGCAAAGCATCTCCGATGGCCAAACAAGGAAATTTTGGCAAATATAGAAAACATAAAAGTTGTTATCAACGTTCGTTGAGAAATTAAGTTCGATTTTTCTTTCAATCTGTTTTCTTATCATTTTTCTTTTAAGATCTAAGATTTTTGTCGAAAGAACTTTTGGAAAAAAAACGACATGCTACGCAGACTCGTTAGAAGCGTATACAAGTGCGGCTTAGGCCTATTTATGTCTGCACCAAGCCACGTATATCCGCGACGGAGGCCGCCGGCGTGCAGCTGTTTGAGCTGGAACCGGCCGCACCGTTGCTGCTACTATTTCCGCCGCCGCTGCTATCGACAAAGAGCGTTGATGCATCGATGCCGGATGTGTTCGGCGAGTTCATTACAGCGTTCACAAGCAGATCATCGCCCACGTCGAGGAAATCGTTAAGGAAGGCGCTGTCGTGCGCAGTATTGCCGATTGTCTGCTGGAGACACTTGAGGTTCTTATCGGCAATCTCGAGCGCACGATCCACGGCCTCGCACTCGGCTTGATGCACTGCAGCACAGCACGGCACAGGCGGCGCATTGGCGGAGGGGTGCACACATTAATTAGTACAATGAAAAGCAGAGTTAACTTTGTTATTATGAAATACACACCAGATTGAAATAACTCGTTGAACGCATCGTCCGGCAGCGTATCAAACACATTTACCAAATCGTGCTCCTCCAGCAGATGGGCGCCATTCAATGCTATATCATCTGCAAGAGTATATGGGAATAGTTAGCAATTGCCCAATTGAGCATGATTCGAATATGTTGTCCACTTACCAGCATCATTAGCGCCTATCAGCTCCGACTCACTCAGACCGCCCAGGCCCGTATCTTCGGAGCTGGCATAGGCCGAACTATTCTCGCATATGCCAAACATATGATGACTCAGCATATTTTCCGTGCTAGCCATCGATGTGTTGACATGATGTGAAGCCATCTGCTGGCCCTGGCCGCTCATGGCATTGCCAAAAGCTGCGTTGAATGAGGGAAAGCCGCAGCTAATGCTGCTGCTACCGCTGTTGCTGTTGTTGTTGCTGCAATAGTTTATGCTGCTGCTGTTGATGTTGTTGTTATTATTGAAGTGCAAGTTGTTATTGTTGTTATGATGCAACTCGCTACTGGCAGCCGCCAGCTGTGCCACAATTTGGCTAATCTCATCGGCCTTGAAATTAGCATTGGCCAGCAAATTCGCATCTAACTGCTGCGTCTGCTCGGCCTCAATCTTAGGCAACATCAGCTGCTGATGCTGTTGCTGCTGGTAATCGCTGAGCGGCGCCAGCGCCGGAGGCGTTATGGACAGCTGCGGCATCGTCAGCACAGGCGCTGCAGGTGTGTAGGGCGGTAGTGCCGAGTGTGACTTAGCCGACGACTGCGAGTTGCTCGCAATGGACTCCAGCGAGGTGGTGCTGCTCTTACGCTGCAGCACCGCTGACACCGGTGGTAATACAGGTAAGATAGTGCTAGCGTATGCATCTGGCTTTTTGGCACGCTTCTGCGGACGGCCAACCGGATTAGCATTTGGATTCGTTTTGCGCTTGCGTTTATTAGCCACTGATGCATTAGCAGTCACCACTGCTGCTGGCACGGGACCCGGCACAGCAGGTGTGGGTGCCGGCTTGGACAGCTGCTGCAACACCTTTGCTCGTTGCTGCGTTTGCTGAGGCTTGGACTGCACCTCAATGCCATGTCGAAGATGGCTATGAACCGGGCACAAAGCCAGTGAGTGCAGCACATCGAACACGGGCGCTTGACAGGCGACCCCATCTACACGCCAAGCGACACACGGCTGGAACAACTGCTGTGTCGTGTTGTTGACAATGTGCCGCTCGCAGTGGGCAGCCATGCTAAGCGTAGGTTGCTTGCAAGCGGCCACCAGGCAGCGATTTCCAACGCCACTGCAAAGATGAAAAGTTGCTTTATTTGGCATTCATAGGGATCATAGGTTCTTAAGTGTACTTACATGCCCTGCTCCTGGCTCGCATGATCCCCGTACTTAAGCAATAGACTGTGGACACATTGCAGTCGCTGACGTGCCGCACGCATTGGCAACTCCTGAAGCGTACGCGTTGAAAGCAACTGCAACGCATGACGGCGTAGCGCACCCTTGTGTAGAGCAATGCGCTCCTCGCGATTGCTCAACACGGACGGCGACTCCTGGGCCAGATATTTGCCAGAGTCCAACCAACGCGCTTGCAAGCAGTATGGAACATCTATCTCCAAAGGTTCATTCTCGCTCAGCAACACAGCATTTCGCTTGGTCGCTGGCGGCACTTTACGGCGCCGCGATGCAGCGCTTATTGATGTTGGCTCCAACGCCGGAACTACTGCAGCAGCTGCTGTATGTGCTGCCTGCTCAACTATTGCTGTCGGCGGTGGAGGCGGCGGCGGCGGCTTCGTAGTGTCCAGAGCAGCGTGTTTATTATTGGTTTTGTTGCCTTTTCTGCAGCCAGTACCAGCTGCTGCCAGCGCTTTGCGTTTCGGCGCCGCAGCTTGACTGACAGCAGAATTGGCCACTTTGGAAGACTTTTGTTCATATTGAATGCTGGCTAGAGGTGCTGTTGCTGACACTGTTGCTGCTGCTACTCCAGTTGTGAGGGCGGGTGCGATAACTGTTGCCATTGCCACTGCTGTTGATGCTGTTGCTGTTGTTGGCGGCGTACATACATTGATCAGCTGTGGCGTTGACGGTGGTGTGGGCGGCGTTGGCGGCGTTAATGGCGCCACAGCACCCAGCTTCATTACTGCCGACTGCTGGCCAATTGCGACCGCTTGGCGTGGCGGTGTTTGTGCGGCAGCTCCAGCACCACCTAAAAGTTCGGGTGGCTTCCGAAAGATGACATTGACGGGAATCTCGTTGAGATCGTTGTTGTCATCGGTAGCATCGGCGGAATGTTTCTTTGTTGTTGCAGCAACCGTTGCAGGTGTCGCTGCTGCGGCTGTAGCTGCAGTATTGAAAACCGTTAGCGGCGGTGGATGCGTCAGATTGTAGACGCCAAACGGCGTTGTCGCCTTGTGCAGCGTGTCAACAATGCCGTTGTTATTGTTGTTGGAGTTCTGACAGCTCAGTGGCAAGGATTTCTTTTTCTTCAAACATTCCACCTTCTGCAAGTGCTGCGCCAGTGTCGTGTGATGAAACTTGGACGGCGGCAATGAGCCGCCTTTTGGCGGTGACATCGCAGCAGACGCTGCTGATAGGGGCACCACAATGGGCGACACCATGGCGGTTACAGCTGCTGTCGGCGGTGCATTGGCCGTGGGTGAGGGTAACGAGGCGGGCGATGTGGGCGGGCTGACCAGTGCTGTGGCAACGACAATGCTGGACTGCTGCTGCTGCTGCTGCTGTTGTTGCTGCTGCTGCTTCTGTGTGGTGTCCAATATGAGCGGTGTTTGCCACAGTGAAGGCGTGTGCGTATATAGCGGCGGTGGCGGTGGTGGCGGATGTGGTGCTGGCTGCTTTGTAATCAATTTCGTTTGCTGTTGCTTCAGTTGTTGCAGTTGCTGTTGTTGTTGCTGCTGCTGCTGTAGTTGCTGCTGTGGACGTACCACACAAACGTTGGTAGCCCGTTTCGGCGACGCTTGCGACTGCAACTGCAGCGGCGACTGCAATTGCAGCTGCGACTGTGACGTTGGCTGCCTTTGAGATTGTGTGACATTATTGAAATTCGTTGTTGCTGCTGCTGCTGCTGCTGCACCCAAAGACGCCTGCGCCTTTGTTGTTACTGCTGCTGCTGCTGCTCGCGCTGTTGCTACAGTTGCTGCCGCTGCTGCTGTTGCTGTTGCAGTGCCATTCAACTGCGCAATGGGCACTGTTGTTGCAGCAACAATGCTCGCTTTTTTGTTTGCAACTCTCTGCTTGCTATTGTTGTTGCAATTTCTGCCGTGCTGCGCTTCGCTTAGGCGGGCTCGCGATTTCTACAACAATATAAAGGTGAGTGTGCATGTGTGTGTGTGAGTAAGGGCATTGTTTTAGTTTAATTTAGTTTCGCCTTGACATGACTTGGCTTAGCTTTACCTGTGCATTAAATAAAATTGGTGGTGTCGCTGCAATAGTCTCCGTGAATACATAGGGATCCTCAGGCGGGTTCGTTTTGGCGGCAGCTACACCAATGCTATGCTCCACAATCACTGAAATAGGCGTTGTTTTAGCTGCTGTTGGCGTCGATGTGCGTTTTGCTGTTGTGGCTGCTGCTGCTGTTGTTGGTGTTGGTAGTGTGCTTTTGGCTGTTGCTACTGTTGCTGTCGCTGCTGCTGCTGTAATGAATCTTGACGCTTGCTGACATGACATGTCCAATTTGCAGCCGTTGCCGTTGTATTAGCTATTGTTGCTCTTCCTATTCCACTTCTACTTCTTCGTCTTGTTATTGTGCAGTTGCTTGTGGAGCGAGCGAGTGAGTGAGTGAGTGTATGTATATTTATATTCGCCGCCCGACTTTTGTTATTTGATCTGTAATAGATAACAACCAGTTAGTATAGTCATCGAAATCGAGAAAACCGCTGCTGATAAGGCAAAGAGAAACCTTGTCGAGGGGCGTTGTCACGTGTGCTCTTTCCAAACACACACACGCGTAAATACATACACACACGCATACGCTCACACAGAAAAAATAAGAAAACAAACAATTGATTCATAGGCAAGTTCTCTGCCTGAGAGTAAAAATCACAAAATACCCTTGACACAGATGGACATCAAATAATGCTAAATTTCTTTGCCACTATTAACTCAGAGAAACTGCTTAAGAATCGATATCGATATCGACTATAATTTGCAATGATATCGGAGATGTTTTGTTTTCCATTTGCACTGAGCTGAAATGAGTACAGAGCAACAACATTGCTCTCTCTTTCCCGCTACTCTCTCACCAACTTACATACACAGGCGTACATGTGGAACAAGCTGCAATAACAATAAACACAATGACTCAGGCGAGAATGTGAATGTAATCAAGTAATTATACACGACTACTGGGAATACCCTGCAGTCAGACATATGCTTACACCTGCATATGGACTTATTTATTTACAAACTTAATATATATACATATATTTACTAAATATTTTCATTAATATTATATAACACTTTATTGCCCCAATATGCCCCATACTGACTATTTATAAAGGGGTATGAAACAAAATATGTGCGCACACATGTACGTGCGTACATATGTTTGTGTGAATGTGTATATCGCCCGCCAGTCAATAAATCTGTTTGCTTGCGATTCGCTGTAAACCAATTCAAGCGAATCGCTTACTTTCTTCTTTGCCATCGTTGCCGCTTCGGCAGCCCGTTCAAGAAAGAAGACTAAAGAAACGCAAAGTGCTGATAAAGACACAAAGCAAATTTTGCAATTATCAAAAAAAAAAATGAATAATAATAATAATGAACTCTCTCACTGCTAATCACATACGCATATAAATGTGTACCCTCACACACACACTTACTCACGTATGCAAATGCAATGAAAGAAACTGTTTTTGTCGCAAGCGAATACAGCAATAACAACAAACCGCGTACACAAATTTGCATGCCAAACGAAAACTGAAAACGGGAACAAAAACAATTTCGAGTATAGACATATGATATGCACACACACACACACATGTAGATACATATGCATGTATGTATATAGATATGCACAAACGTTTGTGTATAATCAAATGAAAGCAAGCAACAATTATTGAGTGCGCAGCAACAATGAAAACAAAAACAAGAAAAAGCAAAACAAATCAAGTTCATAAAAATTAAATTTTTCTAATCAAAACTGGGAGACGATTTTAAATTGCGTTTTATATATCGCATAAAAATGTAGCTTAAGAAATATGAATTTAAACATAAAAATAAATTCCAAAATGCGACATTTGCGAATTGATAAGTCGATCTTTTGACCTCAATTTTTAAAATATGTATATTAAACTAGAAACTTGCAAACGATGAATAAACTTCGCCTAATTCCTAAAAACAACACTTAAAACATTCAGAGAATATAAAATTGATAATACGCATTCTCTGAGTCATATATTCATATTTAGCTATCATTTGGGTAAACAAGATCTTGACTAATCTTGCTCAATTTCACCGTTTCTTACGAAATGAACTGAAAATACGTCATGGATTTATTTTTAAAATATTATAGCCAGTTCCAGCCACAAATGAAGCGAAGTATATACTTCTTGTTTCTAAACACGGCTTATCTGGAAACGTTAGGTGCAAACTGTTTAAATATTAGACCTAAAGACACCTGTTAAGCATATTACTATTATATGCACACATACGTTGATTGATAGCCATTTGTATGTACATTTACGGCTAACAATCCTAGTGCAAAACTCAATATATTTACATAATATAAATATTTGTATATATGCATGTATATACGTGTGTGTATATGAGTAATTGCTAATATCAACAAGTAACTGACCATATGGCAAATTAAATGCAATTTAACGAACTATAATAATTTACTTGTTTGGCTAGTTGCAAGTTGAATGCAATAACATTTTGTATACATTTACATTGATTAATATTATAAAGATTTGAATATCCAATACGCTCTCTGCCACCTTCCGCCCCTGCTGACGTTTTGTTTACAATTCAACTCGAATTTCTATAGAGTGAACAAATGTAGGTATTTTGCATTTGACAGTTCGCATCGGATTGAATTGCATTGTGCATTTGTTTTTTGTTTACATTTCCGTGAAAGAAGGAAATTATGAGACTGACAGACAGAGCTGCATATCCCACCCACGCAAGAGTTGAAATGATGAATATAAGTGTATGGACGTGTGTGTGTAGACGTGATAGTTTTATTTATTATTTATTTACTATGCCGAGAAGCAGACGAAGACCACGGCTGCAAACAACAATACATACGCACATATTTATGTATGTATGAAGTCGGCATTGAAAAAAAATTTAAGGTTAAAACTTAGCGAATATGCTCAAAACAGAAATCAAACAAAAATACACTCAAAAGCAAACACGCTTCTGTACATACATACATACACACGTATAAAAACATGCATACATATGTACATAAAAACCAAGCCAAAGGTTTTTGATCCTAAGCCGCAAAGAGAAACCTACGGCAATAACAAAAACAACAAAACAGCAACAACAAATGGATTTAGCGTGCACATAAAAAGAGAAGAAGAAGAACCAAAGAAACATTCCGATAATTGCAAATAATGACTACACTGAAGTTTGAAGTTGTTGTTGTTGTTGATCATGTTGTTATTGTTGCTGTTGCTGTTGCTGTGGTTTCCGCCGCTTCACACTCTGCCCCAATGTCCATCTTCATCTTCTTTTACGAGTCTTGCCAACGGCTTTAGCCTTTTTTGGAGTTAAATGTTAACTGGTTTTGTCTTGTTTTTTTCATCTTAGCGTTTGGAAACGCTCGAATGATGATAAAATGACAAAAGAACAAGCCAAACTGAACCCGTAATACCTAAACAAAAGAAGTCAAAGCAACTAGTACAAAACTTGGAAGTTCTATACGCGGCTAAATACTCATGCAAGCTGCCTGCCTAGTGCGGCCACAAATGGGTTTGAGCACTAGGCGAACCATTGAAATACTAAATGTATAACAGTATTATACATAGGTAAACTTTGTAAACATTACAAAAACATTAACCTATCCGGATTAGCCAATGTCTGCCCAAGGCTATGTTGTATAAATTGTAGCCACAGTCTTAGAGCTGTTAATGTTAATCTTGTATGAGCTAAAAGTTTATATTTCTCTAGGAAAATTCTAGGAGAACAATCGTATCTTGTAAATGGATAAAAATAGGGAAACAGAAGTAGACTTTCAGATACTATCAAAATAGTATTAGGGACATTAGCTGTCTTGATATACGATATTAACTTGTGCCAAGAACATGAATAGGCCATTGACGCCTTTAAGAGCTGTGATATATCAACAGACATATGCTGGTTTCTCATAAATCTAACAATACACTGAACACTAATACGTCCGGTATGTTAGGAAGGCCTGAAAGGTAGGTAACCTGGATGAGTGTTCGTGGGTGTGGATTATTTCGAATGCTGTTAAAGTTCTTTTACAAAAAATGTTTTCGCTGCTTGAAACACAAATATCTTCTGTCTTAAATTATACGACCTTTTTCAAGAAGAGGCAGTAAAATGAAAAACCCTATAGAAATGGTTTGCCTGTGCGTGGTGCAATGGCTGTTGAAATATAAAGGTTGTATAGGCTGAAAGGTCTGCTGGTTAAACGAGCTACAGCCCAACGCTAGAGGCAGGCAGACAGACAGATAGACAGACGGATAGACAGTCACGCAGTCAGGCAGGCAGAAAGCCGGTTGAGAGGTTAATTGAGAGCGCAAAGCGTTCGCATCGTTACGCTTAACGCTCTGCAGCTACAACGAATGGAACTCTTTACTAAATAGTTACCAGCACAGTGTATAAAAGCTAACTAGTATCAAATTAAAATGTTTTATGCACATACAATTATACATACATATCTACGCACATAGATGACTGTGGTTGGCACCGCCGCTTGAAGAGTGAACAATGAACTGTCGCTCTTTTGTGACACTTTGAGAAATTATGTATAGATTATAGAAGAGCAGAGCTGGAAATTCTAGTACAACTTTATGGAAAAGTTCACATGATCAATGCTTAAGATTTATGTGTATATATGTATATATAAAGATAGGTTTTAACAATATATACTGCAAATGCAAATAGCATTATCCTGTTTTCTTTATAAGCAATTTAATAACTTGGTTGATTTGATACACACACCAATGAATAGAATCAGTTTGTTTGTTTCAATGACCCGTTCAATTGAACTTATTCTGAGGGAAACGACGCAACTCTAGGGACGAGCTGGAATGGAAACAGCATCCGTCGCATAGTCACGTTGTGGTTATTGACGCACATACTACAATGAAATGCACACAGAACACACACACGCGTACATATATATAGTTATTGCAAGTGCAGGAAACCCGAACCCGTTTGTTTCCTTCATAACCGGAAACTGAAGGCTAAAAGTGTAAAAGAAAAAGCACAAAATAAACGTGAGTACTTATGTATGTCTGCATATATATATATATATTTCTGTTGCTGATGACGACCGCAACGAGGCTGTGCCAAACGGCAGATGTAAGCAAAGCGAAGAGCGCCAACAGGCACAGCCTGAGTCTGTCAGTGTGTGGGCTGTGCCCGTTACTTCCCACTTCAGTTTTCAACATATGCTTCATTATTTTACACTATTTTATTTTTCTTTCTTTATTTGTTGTTGTTGTTTTTATGGCTGCGAGAGCTAGCGTCAGCTGAAAAACACTCTTGCACATGTATTCCAAAATGTAACTGCACAGGTATGAGTATGTAATAAACACTCGCAGACACATACAAAGGCACAACTGTATTTTGCGGCACCTATGAGTGCCGTTACAGAAAACGCTGTCTCTGTCTTGCTCGCGCAAGTTTTATTTCATGGTCTTAACGCGATATTTTGGCAACTCACACACACGCACACTTAATCATGATTGTCATGATGATTGTTGCGAAACGTAATTATCACCGCTTGGTACATCAGTGCATACACACCCGTATGTAAAAAGCTTTTGCAACTGTTTTGTTAGACGATAATAAACAAATCAACAAAACAAAACAAATTAGAAATTCTCGTGTAAACGAACTTTGAGGCACTTAAAGGAAAGACGTGTTTTGGAAGCTATGCTTTATGTATTTATTTAGCACAATATTGGTTTTTGCACTTGTTTCATTATCACTTGTTTCATTTCGACTGCCCTTTGTTTTTTTTAACACATATGTACATACGTATGTATAGCGCACTTGAAATTCGACATTGCCGGCATTTTTATTCGTTTTGCTTTATATTCAGCCGAGACGACGTCGCCCTTTTTTATGCCTCCTTTTTCTTTCACATTATTTCACTTCCACACACAGCTAAACAGAGAGCGACACACCCATACCAGCGCAGTCAGCACACCACCATCGCTGCACTTATTACCTTGTATGTTGATTGTACTTGCTTCTGCTTATTTAAATTATCACTATTACCAAAATGATCTTTGAATTATCGTGTATTTCTTTATAATCAACGATTCTTTTCTTTCTTTACTATATACGCCGTTCAAAGTTTGTTTTTGGCGTTGATTTGCCTCAAAACAAGAATGCGTCACAAGCAGTGCAAACACAGACCTACACACTCACACACAAAATATACAACACATACATACATACATAAACAAGCACACAGCGGCAGCAGCAACTGAGAGAAAAAATTTACCCAACCGTCTGATGACGAGTCAAACGTCAAACTGGCGCCGCAGCGACGCGCGCAGTATACTTGGTTTTGTTGTTTTTAGGTACCCTCCCAAGTACAGGGTTGCCGCATATGCTACACAATATTTTGGTAAACATTTTATATATAAACATTTAGAAACGTATGTAATTACATTACAGAAAATATTTAAAACCTAGTTTTAAAATTTTAATAAATTATACGATTAATTGCTGCTTTAATCACCCAATCTTTAAATTTTAGGCAACAGCTCGACAACTCTACACGCTTGCTTTCCCGCGCTCTTTGCTCATGTTTGCATTTGCGCTCACACATACACACTAGTCACAGCTATTCAGCGCTCTCACCAACTCATGCACCATGGCTTGTACAAATTCACCAACACTCTCGCACGCACGCACACATAGTCAACCTGATACATTGCCAATTACGCCAGCAAACAGACCTGGGAATTTTTTTGCAGAAAATTTTTTCTTTGCACCGTAATCACACTTTCAAAAGCAATTTTCGACTCGAAATCTCTTGATAGCCAAATCAAAACGATTGCCTAGCTGTAGGAAAATATTTATTGTTACACTTTATTGTGTTTTGATTGCTTGGGCATCGATTTAAATGCGAATATTTTATTAAATTTAATTTTTTCACGCGCCTGCGAACTTTTTGAGCGTGTGTGCGCATACGTGTAAAAAATGTTAACACACATATACAACGGCAGATGGATAACATTTTGCTGAACTGTTATTAACAGTGACCGTTTAAACAGAGCTGAAACACTTTCAGTTAATCTTATTACAATTTTTTTAAGCCTTTCAGTGACTTTAGAGTGTAAAAGGCTCGAAGTGTCTTCAATAAAAGCTTAAGAATACACATTTGAATTTATTAGTGGGTAATTGCTGAGAAAACCTGTAAATGAATCGCAAATTTGAATTTAACAGCTGCTGTTAATTTAAAACACAGGTTTAACAGATCGCATCCGTTTGTCACAAGTATTTCGTTCTTAGTTCACAGTTACCAGACAGACGACGGTTACGTTTATCCCTCTTGTAAGTAATTTCGATTTTATTTCATATTGCTCGGATATTAACGGTTACAACTAAATGCAATCTTTAAAAGTTTTAAATATAAAGCAATTGAAATTCGAAGTTTTTATGGTCACCCTGCCGGTCGCTCGACATACATATGAAGCCGCTTGATTTATGTTATCTGGAATCACGCTCTCTCTGTGGGAGACAGCGGCTTGGCTCACAACTCGATTGTTCAGTCATAACACCAACTTGATTGGCGTCTGCCATTCAGTGCGCTCAGCTTCAACTGTTCGACCTGCATATACACAAGTATTCTAAGCATTCCGAGCACTCGGACTGATTTTGTGAAAGCGTCTAGCTACATAGCCATGGGATTTTATTTAGTGCGAGGCACGTTATTAGCCGTTGTTGTTGTTTGTTCGGTGACATTGAGCGTAGCAGCAGGTAATTATGGGAGATTCTGAAAAACTAGTCTTTTGTGAACTTAACACTGGGATGTATCTGTAGCCCAGCGGCAAGGAGACTGTTCGTCGCTCACCCGGAATGGACGAGTCTTGGGACAATGTATTCCTGTACGAGATTGCGAATACTTTATGGGGATACTCACCGTTACACCTGTGTCACAGTCGGATAGAAATCTCCTGCGTGACAATCAATGCAATCGACAGCAAAATGGGAATGTTAACGTAAGTTGTTTATACCTTTAATGAAATCAAAACTAAAGTGTTTGTTTAGGTGTGTTGTCCAATACTTGATATGGATGGCGTAGGGCAAGCGAATAGAGATAGCTTGGGCGCTTTGACACATCCATTACTGCCGCATGAATGTGGCGGGGTCAAATGGCAGCGCTCCAATGATACGGAAGCAAAAATTAATGAGTATCCGTGGCTGGCGCTGATTGAATACACGAAACGTAAGTAAATCACATTTATAACTACATTATTTCTTATCAATTGCTTTTTCCCAAATTACGCAGCAAGTCAAGAGAAACTTCACGCTTGTGGCGGTGTTCTGATCAGCGAACGCTATGTGCTTACGGCGGCTCATTGTGCGTCTGGTTCAGCGATAAGCAGTGAAGGCTGGCGAGTGCGTGCAGTACGGTTGGGCGAATGGGATACGTTGACAAATCCCGATTGTCAGGTCAGTCATGCGCCTGAGAAAACGGAATGTGCTCCTCCCTATCAGGATGTGCTCGTCGAAGAGATCATTGTGCACCAAAATTATAGCATGGACGCCGGAAGTCAAACGAATGACATTGCAATGATACGCTTGAAGGATGTTGCGCAGATCAACAACTACGTGCAGCCTATATGCTTGCCTAACAAGCAATTGCGTGCCGATGAGCTGGAGGATTTAGTTACAGAAGTGGGCGGTTGGCAGGCCAAGTCCAGCTCGCGCTTAAAAAAGAGTGAAGTTATCATCGAATCGATCGAAAATTGTCAGAGACAATATGCCGCCCAGAATATACATATTATGGCTTCCCAATTGTGTGGGTCGGCCAAAAGCAATGAGTGCCACGGCAACTCCGGCGGCCCACTTATGTTATTAAAGAATAACGTTTATCTTCTCGGCGGCCTGTTGTCCTTCGGCCCTGTACCATGTCCAAGTACTGGCTGGCCAGATATCTATACGCGTGTGGCCTCATACATTGATTGGATACATAGCAATCTCAAGGCATAACAAATTGCGTTTTATAGTTGACTTGTGTAATGATTTTGGCTAATGATATAAACATTTCTTTGGAACATAACAAAATTTCTTTTTCAATGGGACTCAAAACCTAATTCAAATTGTGTAGGCAGTTTTACGATTAAGGCTGAGACACATCGATATGCAGTCATGAATATCGATTTTGTTTTGATACACTTATCGGTGTCTACATTGTTTTTAGCCATTCCTCCTTCATACGCGCTGCTCTCGCTCTGAGCTAAGGTCTCAAATTAAGTTTAACAAGTGTTTAGTTCGTGAAATTTCTTATACTTGTGCTGTAATCGAGCATCAACTGCTTTGTGTGTGAATTTCTTATGGCCGAAGCTGCAAAAACAGGTAAAAATTGAGCGCAAAGCTGTGCAAACAAAATTTGCATTCGTGCGTATGTAAGCGACAATGGCGACTATCTTATTAGTAGACATCGATAGAATTGCTGATATCGCTTTCATAGTCAGAGTTGCAAAATTGAAATCGATTGACTGCGGTTATTCAAAAAGAAAAAAATTTAAAACCAATGTATTTTTTGTTTTTGTAGAGAGTTCTCAAAGTGGCGCAACACAAAGGCGCAAGCATCGACGAGGCAAGAAATCAAAAATATTGCCCAAGAAGACGAAGAATCAATATCCGCCTTGGAAAATGGATGTGGCTGCATCGGCAAACGTGAACAGCGCAACAGCTAGCTGCAGCAGTGGTGCCCGCACCAAACTCGTTCGCTCACGTTCACTGCTTGTGCCATACAACACGAATCGGTTCCTGATGGAGGAGCACATGTCAGAGTTACCCAGGGACGATTTTGAAGACAATTGCTTTGGGTTACAGACCGAGGATCAGGAACTGTTTCTGTCCAAGGAATTCTCAAACGTTTACGAACGTGCGCGAGTTGAGCGGCTGGAAACGATGAACAAACAGGAGCTCATACAGGAGTGCCTACAAATAGAGGATCGATACGCTAAAGATCAAGGGCGACAGCGTCAGCAGAGCCTTAACGCACAGAACATATCAAAGGAGTTTGGTGCCAAGGTTCGCGCTCTGGAGGAAAAGATTCGTGACTTAACGCGCGAAAATCAAAGTGAGTAAAATAAAATGATATTTATATTTATATTCAAAATATCTAAATTAAATATAACTTTTAGTGCTACGATCACACCTCATACGCTCGCGCTCGCCTACCTTAACCGCTGGAATCGCAGCGGCGGCATCGCCTCCCTCGGCAACAGCGCCAACGGGCAGTGCTGTTTGCGATCTGGAGGCGCGTCAGCAACCCCAAGAGCCCACGCCAATGGACTCATCCAGTGAGGACAGCGAAAGTGATAGCAGCAGCTCAACATCTAGCACGACATCCAGCTCATCGTCGAGCAGCGATGGCCACGAAAGGGGCGTCGCCGGCTTAAATATAGCCAACGGTCATGCAGAGCACAGCGCCCATCGGCATAGTCGTAGCCATTCACGTTCGCCTCAATTAGTGATTGATGCCCAGCTCAACGGTCATGCCAATGAGGACGAGCAATTGCTTCTGCTAGACGCTAACCGCATGGAAGAGGATGACAACTCCAGTGAGGATGCCAAGAATAACGGTGCCGAAGACGAAGGATCCAAATAAATTGTTGTATGGGGATGTAATGGAGTTGTCGAACTGTAAATAGTTAATCTAATACTTGTGGTAGAAACGTTGCATGATTTATCGAAACTCCGTTAACGTTTAAGTAGCGTTTAACACCTAAGTTGTAGGTATAAGCTTATTAAAGACACCCTGGAATAAGAACTTGATATAAATAACCTTTGAAGAAAATAATTGAATTGAAGTTACTTCAAATTGATGGAAACTCAAAAATGCTTTTTATGTAGTTTTATCACGCTTGTGCTATAATCAATGCTTCAAAACCCGAATGAAAAAAATTAAAAACCGCCAAATTGCTTTTAAAATGTCGAGCATAAGATTGAGGAAATTTTTGAAATTTTATATAGATAACCCCGATTTGTAACTGAATAAAAACGTTGAATTGTAATATTTCAATTATTTGTTTAAATATTTCAAGACACTATACTAAACTGCTACTATATTTGATGTATTCTATCTATCAATTTGCCTACTTTGTGTTATCAGCTATGGTTTTTATAAATGAGCTGTATTCACTGGCATAAAGCCGTTTCGAAATGCCAGCATACGCCACGCCCAGTAGCTTTTGCTCTGCTGGCGTCAGCTGTGGTTCAATCGTTAGACGTTTGGGCCCCCGTACAGGCATCCAGCCCGAGACAGGCGCCACATTGGCAACCATGCAGCCACGCACGGCTATGGTGAGGCTCACCAAGGAGAGCGATTCGTCGCGGTACTCTTGCAGCAGCATGTCTGCTACGCCTAGATCGTTGACCGCGGAATTCACATTCGCAATGTCCTGGAAATGCGGCAGGTAGTTGGCGTGTATAAAGTTTACAAAGTTTCTTGGCTCTGTGCTAAAAGCTTCAGCTAAATCCTCAGGATTATGCAGCAGACACTTGTCCCTATCTTCAGTATCTATAATAGCGAAAGGATTCATTCATGTTTAATATCAATAATAAGATGTTATTCTGTTGTATGCCTTACATTTGGGATTGAAAACGCGACCCAGCGCATGCATCATAGTTATTGACTCGTCCCGCCCAATGGACTTCAAAGTATTTGTTGCTTTCCGTTTGCGGCCCTTGCTTGGCGCGTTGACATTTAGCTGCTTGGTAACCATGCTTGGCGCACCTTTTAGTGAGCCAAAGTGTAGATTGATCAACGCGTTCCGAATGTCGCCTTGGGCGCACACCACAATCGAGTCCAAGACAGTCTGTGTGGGCAACTTGTACAGACTCTTGTGCTGCTGTTGCTGCATTAGCGTGGTAAAGCGTTTCATAGACTTTTGCATAATAGTCGCTGCTATCGAATTGAAGCTAATGTGTTCAATGCGCAGCTTTGCTTTTAGTTGATCCGTGAACAACTTGTAGCTGATGTTGAGCATACGTGACTTGCTGTCGGCTGCTATGAAGACAAGCGGCGACTTGCCATAGCTGATATATTCACTGAAAATAACGCTTTTGTTATAGAGTATGCTCTTCTACTGCTTGCATAACACTCACTCTAGCAAATCTGAAAAAGTTGCTGCTGCATCTTTTAACAATACATTCGGAAAATCTTCAACGAGCAAGAGTCGCTTGTTCTGCGCCGACAGCAGTGATTTGTAGCGGGAGGCGCGCAATAGAAAGCTCTTAAAGGCCTCCAGCTGTGAGCCCATATAGGTTCCATCGCTGGGTTGATCGCCCAGCGCATTGATTTCCTCACAGTCAGTGGGATTGATCCATTCTTGCAGCTCGTATCCAAGTTCTTGGGCTAATACACGAAGCGTGGCCGTTTTACCACAGCCGGCTGGTCCTGTCAATAGACAAATCTGGGCCGGATACTTCTTTCGCATCGCCTCGCAGTGCTGCAACCAGTTGCGCACATCGCCAACTTTCTTGGGATGTACAGCCAGGTCTTCACTAGTGCTTGGCGCAAAGCAATCCATCCAGTTCTCACTCACAATAGGTGTCGCTGCATTGACTTCTTCATCATCCTCATTCACGGTCAAGTCAACAATTTGTGGTTTACGTACGTTAGTGGATTCTACATTTGCGGTTCCTACATTGGCAGAAGTTGTGGCCCTGCCGCTTCTTGTGCGTTTGTAGGGCGCCGAAACTGGACTGGCTTTTGGTGTCATGTTAAGCTGGCTGAATGCCGACTTAACCCATGGTTTCTGCGCACAAGGTTTTGGTATTTTATTAAGTTCTTAAAGGATTATTAATATTGTTTACCTTTTTTGCGGTCATTTTAATTTTTTAATTTAACTTTTCGATATCACAGTATTTCGATGTTTAAAGTATGAAAGCAATTATATATTGATAAATATCGACGTACCACCACTCGACAGCGTAAGGCGCGGCGAATTCGCTTCCACTGACAGTGCTGCCCAGCTCCATAACAATAAACTCAATTTAACGGACATAATTTAAATACTAAAATGAAAGGCTTTATCACAAGCAAATATCATAGTAATTAGTATCGAATCAATAGTTCTTTATTTGTTTTGAAATATCGCAAGTGCGCTTTACAACTGTACAACATTATAACATTATATTTAAGAGTACCATGGACTATTTTGCATTGAGTATTTGCTTTCAGTTAGCTGCGTATTTTTTTTTTCTTTTTTGTTGTGACAATTGGACTTCTTTGGTTTTTATTTACAAAAGCAAACAGCATATAAAGATATATAAACAATATTACATACATTTAAATTTAATGAGTACGCATATATAATATAACTACATATCAATACGATTTCGTAAATTAGGCTTAAAATAACATCATTGAGATACTAAAAAGCACGTAAATTAAGCAACGTCTTAGACCTAGCTAGAGGGTTAGCTAAAAAGGAATGAATATCAACAACTGTTTCGATAATCAGTGCCAAAAATGATATTTGATCGTACCTAACCTAGCTTACAATATATAAAGTCATAGGTTTTAATAATTCGCTCTAAACTACTTTCGCTGCTCGAATCGCTGCGTTAGCGACGCTATGTTCGCTGACGCCTTCACTGTGGGCGGTGTTGGTGCGGCAGCTGCCGTTGCAGACGATGCGCCAGCCAGACGCTTCGGCAATTCGCCGCTGAACGAAGGCTTCGCCGAGAGCGGCTTGGGCTTCTGTATGGTGGCCGAGGGTGCGACTGCCACGCCATTGGGCAGTGCTTTAGCTGTCTTCGTAAATGACTTGGGACGTGCTCCACCGCTGATGCGTGCCGGCTGCGCAGCAGCTGCTCTGTTGGCGTTACTACTGCCGCTGTTACTGCTTGACTTGCTGCTGCTGCTGGTTGCATTTGCTGGCGCTGGCTTGAAGCTCGAGAATGCGCGTGATGGTGAGATGTCGGAGCGTGTTGGCGCCACACGCGCCACTGGGGCATTGATGGGAGGTGCACGCAGATATGTGGGCGTAACGGCTGTCTTCTCCTCAGCACTGGCTGAGCTGCTATTTCTGTTGCTGCCCGCCGGCCTCGGCGGTGCCGGACGCTGGGGACTACGTGGCGCTTCTGGCTCGTCAACTGCCGCTGCTGCTGTAGCTGCTGATGCTTTGCCCGAGTAGATGGAATCGCCGCCATTGAGTTTCTCAAACTCATTGACAATCTCACCCAGCAAACCCATATCGCCGTTTGCTCCTGCATTGCTGGCCAAGCTGGCTACGAGTTCACTGCGCTTGAGGGTCTGGGCAGCTGGAGGAATCTCGTCAATGACCGAGTAGATGGCATCGCTGGACGCGCGAGTAGATGGCGACTCCACGAGCTCGCAGTCATCGTAGGTATTCTCCGTCGTGGTCTGGGCGGTAGCCACTGGCAGCTGATAGCCTGACGAGCTGGTTGAATTGGTTTTCTTGGCCACCGGAGGCGGGCGTGGTGGCGGGGACTTGGGTCGTGTGCCGGCGGCGTTGGCAGCGTTCACTGAACTCTTGGGCCGGGCTGCTCCGGGAGGCGAACGCATCGAGCCAAATGTCTGCACCTGCGTCTTCTTGGTGGGCGATCGCATGGACTGAGTGCGCTTCACTAAGTTCTTGGTCTCCTCCTCGCGCGGTGTTGTCTCCGAGTCCGAATTGGAGGACTCTGCCTGCAGCGGCAACGGCGCTGGCGTCGGCACTGGCATCGGTGCCGAGATTTCCATTTTGCGCAATCGTTCGCGATCAATGTACGTCTTCTCTTTGTGTGGAGGCTTCTCGTCCTTCTTCAGAAATGAGGCAAGGCGCCGTATTGTGCCGTCGCGCTTGATGTTCAGCTTGGGATCTGCGTGCAGCGGCACGGGTGGTGCGGGCGCCGATCGAGTGGGCGAGAGATCATCATCGCCGCCTTTCAGAGGCACCATGGTCAGCGTGCTGGAGTCCAACGTGGGTTTCGATATGATGGGACGTGCTGTCGAGCCGGGGTTCGGCGGTGGCAGCGCAGGCGCTGCTCTCGGCAATGTATGGGCCGTCTTCGCTGCATTCTGTTCCGATGGCTTAACTGCCGGTGGCGGCGGTGCCACTCGCTGTGGCACCCCATGGCTATCCTGCTGCACCGTCGGCTGCACAAAGGCCACATTCGGTCCGCTGTAGTTGCTCGCCGGCGAGCTGGCATTGTTCAGCGGACGCAAAGTGAATCCCTTGAATTTGCCAAACATGCTCGTCGCATTCCCAGCTGCGGCAGCATCGCTCGAATCGCTCGGCGACTTCAGCAGCGCCGAGTTCATGTCGTCGGTGCTGCTGGGCGTCGATTTGGGTAATCCATTGGCCCCACCTGCGGGCGGACCAGCTCCATTTTGATTGACGCGCGTCGATGGCTGCTTGTGACCGCTGGCGCTTTTCAAGCTGCAAAGACAAATCACTGCAATTAGTATGCGGCTAAAGCAGAGCAGATAGAGCTGCATAAAAGTTTGGATATATATGGATATATATTTATATAAATATAGCAATAATGTGTTTGTATTACATACCAACAGAAATCAGTGCAAGGTCAAAAGAGGCAGGCAATATTAGGAACCAACACCAAGGCTAAATAAAGTTAACAGAGATAAGATAACATGCGCACGCAGTTAACATGCACTTAACAGTGGTTTAACAAACTGTTCAAATATAACATATACAATTTGATTAGCAGCTGAAGTTGCTGTTAATTGCAGAGCTTAACATACTGTTAAATACCCAGTGAACAGCAACTTAACAGCTTTCTGTTATAACAAGAAAATTACTAGATTTTAGGAGTTTGAGTTTAGTCTTATAAGAGAATTAAATTATTTGAAAATCTTTAAAAAATACTGGAATTATATAATATTTAAATGCTTAATGTGACATACATATGAAAATTATAACAAAATAAAATTATTTACGAGTATTTTAATAGTTCAAAACTTTTCAATTTTGTCTGGATGCATATTGAAATATTTTTAAAACATTTAAAAAAAAATTCTAAAATTTTTAAAAATTTTGAATTTCTTTTGAATGATTTGACGAAGTTTTGAAAACTAATTAAAAATATTTGAAAATATTTTCATATCTCAATATTAATTATAACAACAAATTTTGGATTAATATTGAACAAAATAAATAAATTTACAGTTAAATCATTTTTATAAATATGTGTGAATTTAAATATTTAAAAATAAAAATTTTAATTTAAAAATAAAAAAATACTTAACTAAGTTAATATCTCAAATTACACATTTTAAATATAAAATAAATTAAAATTCACAGCTAAATAATTTAATAATAATAATTCGACTCTTATTTTTTAAGATCAAACTTTAGTTAACTGTTCGAATTCTAGTTGTATATGAAATCTTAAACATTTAATAGCACAACAAACAAACATATCCAACACCAACAATTAGCATTAAAGTCAAGCATTTATTAGGCACACACATGATACAAATTAAATAAAGTAAACATCAACTAAAAATAGTTTAAGCACACACAAATGAAAATGGGAGGAAAATGGAAGTATCAAGAAGGAATCACGCCACATGACTCGAGCATGCTAATATAGTTTGTGGTTTGCTGGACAGTGTATTGGGTATTGTGGCTGGAATTGTTGTTATTATTGTTATTATTGCTAGTATTTGGCACACCTCGCGGGCTCGCTTTTTATGTATTGGGCGCCCTCGGTGAGCGCCAAAGGATTTGTGGTTGCATGCAGACGCGGCGCCGTGATGTCCAGCTTGCGTCGCATTGAATTACTGTTACTGTTGCTGCTGCTGTTGCTGCTGTGCGGTGGCACGGGCGGTGGCACAGTGGCTGCCACTGCAGTAGTTTGTGCATTGGAAAGCTTGCGCCGCACATGAGGTGCATGCAGCACCTCGTAGTGGCTCTGGCTCTTGGGCATGGCAGGCGGATGCACTGCAGCGAGTATGCCAGGGCTAGACTTCAGACGGGGCAGTGTGGCGTGTATATTAGTAATTGTTGCAGTGTTAGTAGTTTGTGTGTTAACATTGTGTGGCGGTGGTGGTGGTGGTGGTGGTGCTGAGACGTGCATTGATTGTGTAGGTGCTGCTGGTGCAGACGTAGTACAATTGGCTGTGGGTGAACTAGCTGTGGAGCAGCAAGAAACGGCGGCACAGCTCTTGCCGCTGCTGCTGTTTCTTTTGCTGCTATTGCTACTGGACGTGGATGTCGATACATACATATTATCGGTTAGTTTTCCGCTGGCGAAGAGCTTCTTGTTCCGGATCGCACATCGATAGATCAAAAAGAAGCAGGCTAAAAACGGCAGCACCACGAAGAACAGGATGAGCAGCAAGCGCTGAAGGCTGAGAGCACCTGCAAGTAACAAAGGCGAAGCCGAGCATTGAGAGATGCATCTCTTTGAGGTGCGCGTCCCAGCGAATACTTACTGCTCGGATTTGTGGCTGGGCCGCTGTCTACGGAGCCGCCGTGTCCGGCCTTGCTGCATGCCTCACCACCGAAGCCCACATCGCAGTGGCAGTGGCCACGGCTGTTGCAGACGCCGTTGTCGTTGCAGTTCTCCGGGCAGGGCGCGCCCATGCCCATCTTGCGCACGCGATCCAAGGCCAGGCACTGCTGATTGACGCACATGCTCTGGTCGCCACACTTAGCGCCATTTGGCGTCAGACCGGGATCGATGGTTTGCAGCCCAAGATCCACCAGGGCCGTGCGGCAGGCCACAATTTTCCGATCGTGACTGATAAAGGAATGGGATAGCACCGCTGCCGATTCCATGCCAAACTCTAGACGCTCGTTCAGGTGGTTGCAGTGCAGCATGCCGCAGTGTATGTGCTGTGGCGCGCACTTGACGAATGTCTGGTTGAGCAGATTGTAGCCACAGTTGCCCAAGCGGGAGCCCTCCAAGTTCTTCTCATAGCAGTGCACCGAGTTGTTGCCCGTGGGCCCCCACAGGATGCGGCATTGGTTGGTATGGGAGCGACAAGAGCCCAAGAAGCAGTACGCCTGATTCCCATCACAGGGCTCCGTGTCACGACGGAACACGTCCGTTGGGCAATACTCCGACTCGCCGGTGCAGAACTCGGGTAAATCGCATTCGTTGCCCGCCGGACGGCAGGTGCTGCCCGCCATCATGGGTCGGCAGGTCTTCAGGTCGCAGCACTCGCCGGTGGCGCAGGATGCATTCGCGTGCAACATACAGGTGACCGGATTGCAGCAGCTGTTCTCGCAGTGGGCGGGCAAGCCGCAATCGCACTGCTCGCCGGGTTCCACGAAGCCGTTGCCGCACTGCGGCGAATCGAAGAGGCGAGTGGGCTTATTCCTCAGGCAATAGTTCATGCCGCGCGAGAAGGCGATGGTCAGCTGATCGATGCTGCAGCTGCTCCAGTGCACTGGGACCACAGCCGAGCTGGATGAGGCCATCACGCACTTCTCGTCGGGACAATGGCAATCATTCGAATCATGCTCCATGCCAAAATTGTGACCCATCTCATGGGCCATGGTTGTGGCCACCACAGCCAGCACCTGGCTATGCTGCACGCTCACGCCGCCAGAGAACACATAGGTGCAAATGGGCCCCTTCAGCGCCTTGCCCACAACGCTGCCATTGAACGTCTCTTTGGTCAGCAGCTGGGCATTATCGTTGGGATGGTCCACCACCAGCTTAGATCTGCGGTAATTGAGGAAATTGTGTAAGGTAACATCGCCATCGCTGGAGAACTCAATCTCGTTCGACTCATTCCAAATGACGACGCCCACGAGCGCCACGAAGATGTTCAACGGCACATAGAGCTGCAGATGGGTTCAGTGGTTCAGTGGTTTAGTGGTTTAGTGGCTTACAACTACATTATCTTGCGGCTACTTACGGCATTCACAATGTTGGCCAGATCCTTGCAATGCTGATGGACTCGCTTGGCATTCTCGCCAAAATGCTTGTACACTTTGTTGTCCACCACAATGACCAGCTCGACGTAGCTGGAGTATTTGTTGGCATTGTATGGGCCACGTATCAATTGACTCTCATCCGTTTGGCGTCGCTTGCGCCTCAGCATGCGCTGAAATTCCCCGCCATCCAAGCGCTGTGGCACCGTGGGTTGCGCCTCCTCATCGCCCAGCTCCAGGTCCTCGCTTGGCCAACTTTCGTAGTTGTCTTTGTGGCTGTCGTAGCCACAGGTGGCATTCTGTTGCAGCATGTCGGCGTGCCTAAATAAACCGAAAAGGCTGGTAATTTAATATTTCCGTGGCTAAAAATTAATAACGGAAGTGAGCCTTAGTTGGCCGTGGCATGCGGCAATAAAAACACATATTTATTGAACGCAAATAAGGCAAACATTGAGGCAGGTAACTGCCCCAGCTCCGACTCCAGTCTCTAGCTCAACGGACAGCAGTGTAAATATGGGCTTGGATAAGCGCCGTCTGCTTAGATATGTCTGCGTGATATTTGTACATTCAACCGAACGTGTCACAATAAATGCGATGGATAAGGAGAGATATGCGAGGCAAGGAAACATAAACGAATAACTCAAATTTGACCTCAAATCATGATGTAGCGACGCTGCTTCAAGCTCATTTAAATTTCCAAAGCTAAGCTCAAGTTCAAGTTAGTTTGGATTGCAACTCACCTGAGCAGATAGTGGTCATCCTGCAGCCGTCCGCTGCCTTCGCTGTGGGGGTGTATGAAATACGTATGCTGGCCATCGAAGACGACGCCACTGAGGCCGCCGTGGCAGGTGGAGAGTGCCACACTGGAGTCCGGCTGGCCACGTATGTATCCCTGGTTGGTTACACGTAATGTTTCCATGATAAAAAGATGCCGTAAAAGCAACAACTTTCAGTGCCTGCTCACCTGATAATGACATAAATCAACGTCAGTCTTGGTAAACTTGCGCACCACGTAGCCAGCGGCGCCATCCGCCCGATTGCTGGCGTTCTGATACCGCAGGAAGTGGGCGTCGGGCAGTAGGCGATCGTTGCGCTGCAGTTCGATTTGGATGCGCTGTCCTTGATGCGTGTACAGCAGTGTTAACTGCGGCGCGTGCAGGCCATCCTGAAAGAGCAGATAGCAAGGTTAAAGCAAGCTTTAAAGAGATTTCAATATTCCAATGCTCTGCTCTACATTTAATACAACTCTCGCACGCAAAAAGCGGACACACAGGCCCAAGCCACAGCCAACGCCAAAGCCCAAGCGCCGCTCACGCAAACAATTTCTAGGTGCGAACGTGTAAAATTCTGCGCCCCATGGCGCGCCGGGCCGTTCCTTTGGTCGCTCGTGGAAACTAATTAAAAAGGGTTTTGTTAGCTGGTTCCCGTTTTTCTTTCTCGTTTCTGTTTCTGTTGCGCCTGCCACACCCAGCGGCCCGCACAGCCAGCGGCTCGCACAGCCACTGGCATGTCAAATTATTCGCTTCACATTTTTGCTTAATTTTGTTGGCTGTTCGGCTAACTTTTATTCACTTAGGCGAGTAGGCTTTTTTATTTTATCAGTCCGGGCTAATTACAAGCGTCGTGCAACGAGCTAAGTTCGTGTCAACGGTCACTCAATGTTGTGGTATTTTAAAAGGCTGCCGAAATTGCTTAATTATGAAAACCTAGTTACGTAAACTCTACCAAAACTCTCCATCAGCTGTGGAATATAGACACGCTTTAGTTGTAATCCTATTAACAGCTTTTTGCTTTGCCTTTAGCTTCTCGATGTCCTCTGTCTTTGAGTCTTCTTTACGTCTTGTGTTGCTTCTCGCTTTGCTTCTCACTTTGCTTCTAACTTTTATTCCTTACTTTGCTTCTCGCTTTTCTTCTACCTCCTCGCTTTTAGCTTCACTATGTTCATCACTTTGCTTCTCGCTTTGATTTGGCTTTGCTTCACGCTTTGCTTCTCACTTTGTTTCTCACTTTGGTTCTTGTTTTGCTTCTCCCTTTGCTTTTCAATTTGATACTTATTTTTGCTCCTCACTTTGCTTCTCACTGTGTTCTTTACTATGCTTCTCGCTTTGCTTCCCGCTTTGCTTCTCTCTTTGCTTCTCCCTTGATTTCTTACTTTTCTTCTTGCTTTGATTCTCTCATTGCTTCTCATTTTGCTACTCATTTTGCATCTCTGCTACTACTTTGCTTTTCGCTTTTCTATTGGCTTTGATTCTCCTTTTGCTTCACTCTTTGCTTCTCTCTTTGCTTCTCACTTTGTATCTTACTCTATTTTTTACTTTTCTTCATGCTTTGCTTTTCACTTTGCTACTCACTTTTTACTTCTCATCTTTGCTTCTTTGTATTTTACTTTATTTCTTATTTTGCTTCTCGCTTGGCTTCTCTCTTTACTTCTTACTTTGCCCCTAAATTAGATATTTACTCTTCCAAACTTTTGATTATGCTTTTGTTAGCTATTTAGCTTCTCATTCTTAGCTTATCTGTTCGATTATAGCTTGCTTCTCCCCTGCTTCTCTCTTACTCCCATTTCATTTTTGCTTAGCTAAATTTCTCCACTTTTTTGTGGCTTTCGCTTATTTTGGCATTTGTTAAGTCATTTGTGGAGCTTTTAGCTGTGCTTTGCTCTCTAATTTTACCTTAGGATCTTCTGGTGAATTAAAGATAGTCGCTGGGCGTTTCACGCTGCTATGTGAGTTGACCCCTGCCCGTTTAGCTTTCGTAATTATAATTTGTAACCAACATCGAGTCGTACTCACCGTTGCATCCAGAGTGCTCTGCAGGGCGCGCTTAGTGCGTCCATGTTGCACTTGGGGGCGTATCACAGTGTGAGTTGAAAACTCATTAAGGGCAGGAAAATAGTCACCAATGTGTGCTGCAAGCAGATGGATAGAAACAGAAAGAAAATGTAAGTATAAATATGCCAAAAATCATTACCAGTCAAACATTTGTAATTGGGCTAAAAACACATTGTTCAACATTTGTGTCGGGCATGTATCTGTGGTCTATATGGAGGGGGCACACCCAGTTCGCTACAACAATAGAGACAACGACAATGACAAATCCGCTGTGAGTGAAACACTCTGGCCCTGACTGAAAGGTGCCTTAAATGGGCTTAAGTTTCAAGCGCAAATGCTGACAACTTGAGCCCATAATTAAAAGCAAAGAAAAATGCCAACAGTCTGATAATCATTTAACGTGTTTACTACTAGCCCACAAGCGAACGTAGCTGGACAGATGCCCGATAAGATGCAACAATGTACAAAGCACATGTGTGAGCATCTGATGGATATGCAGCGAGGACTGAGCAGCAGCAGCGACTCGACAAGCATCTGCCTAACTGTCTGATGACTGATGTGTGATATGTGGCCATGAGCAGCGCTAAAATTAGCAAGTTCATAAATTAAGTATGCGCGATACAGATTTAGGTCTACACAGAATACATATATATCTATCTATATATATATATATATATACATATATTGTTAAAGAACTTTTGTTGTAACGTGAAAACATGTCTAATTAATGCAGACCAGCAGACAGCGCAGTTGTCAGACATGCAGCAGCATCAGCATCAGCATCAGCATTAGCTTCAGTACGTTTTGGACATTTGTATCTTGCGGATACATCTTAAGACATTTCGCACATGCGTGGGCTTACACACACGCACAAGTGGCCTCTCACTTGGCAGCAGAATGAAAACAAAAAATAAACAAAAATTACAATAAGACTCAGCATTTGGGGGACTCCAAAAAAAGAAAACATTTTTCAATTTTAGCCACTGCTGCTAAGTCCAGACCTCTGGAGAGAGCCAGCCAAGATGTCGCAGCATCACCATCAACGGTTTCTCAACATGCACAAAGTCAGAGACGCTTTCCAAATGTCACACGCGTCAGGGCTTTTTGTTTTACACGCCGCCCAAAATGTATTTAAAAACAACATTTTTAATACCCTTTCGAAATGGTATTATTATTGACATCATAAACCTTGGAATGCACTAACACGATCTCATGAAGTATATTTAGTCTTGGCAAATGGGGACATAAATCATTATTGTGCTTTTTTATCTCTTTATTACGAGCATTTTTATAAGAATTATTCCATATCGATTGGGTTTACTAGTTATAAAATCTGAATGAATTCTCTCTTCTAATCTATATATATAAATATATATGCATATATCTTCTGTTATGTCTACAAGGATTTGTCGCATCCTTTGATATATCTCTTATACATGCGAATTGGAATCAATATGCTTTATAAAAACATTTCGACTAGTGTAATGAAGCTTCGATGTGACGCAGACCATCGGGTTTTACTTGTTCTTGTTTTAAATATATTTTTATAACACGGAACGTTTAACGCACAATGCACGACGAGCTCGCAAATTGAATTCTTTTTGCTTATAAGCAGATATTTTGCCTCTTCTTAGGTACTTTTTTGTTGTTGGCCTTGTCAGTGCAAGACGCCATTAAGGATGCCAGCATTAAGAACTGTTAAGCATGACCATGATGAACGGTACTCAAGCGAAGGCTAATCAATTTTACATAACTCAAGTCTTGTCTCTGAAGAGCTGTATATTATTAAAATGGTATGAAACGCGCTTAAAAAAGGGATAAGAATGAGTAATGGAATCCGTGTAAGTATAAGTATAAGTATAAGTATAAGTATAAGTATAAGTATAAGTATAAGTATAAGTATAAGTATAAGTATAAGTATATGTATAAGTATAAGTATAAGTATAAGTATAAGTATAAGTATAAGTATAAGTATAAGTATAAGTATAAGTATAAGTATAAGTATAAGTATAAGTATAAGTATAAGTATAAGTATAAGTATAAGTATAAGTATAAGTATAAGTATAAGTATAAGTATAAGTATAAGTATAAGTATAAGTATAAGTATAAGTATAAGTATAAGTATAAGTATAAGTATAAGTATAAGTATAAGTATAAGTATAAGTATAAGTATAAGTATGAGTATGAGTATGAGTATGGTATGAGTATGAGTATGAGTATGAGTATGAGTATAAGTATAAGTATAAGTATAAGTATAAGTATAAGTATAAATATAAGTATAAGTATAAGTATAAGTATAAGTATAAGTATGAGTATGAGTATGAGTATGAGTATGAGTATAAGTATAAGTATAAGTATACGTATAAGTATAAGTATAAGTATAAGTATAAGTATAAGTATAAGTATAAGTATAAGTATAAGTATAAGTATAAGTATAAGTATAAGTATAAGTATAAGTATAAGTATAAGTATAAGTATAAGTATAAGTATAAGTATAAGTATAAGTATAAGTATAAGTATAAGTATAAGTATAAGTATAAGTATAAGTATAAGTATAAGTATAAGTATAAGTATAAGTATTAGTTTAAGTATAAGTATAAGTATAAGTATGAGTATGAGTATGAGTCTGAGTATGAGTATGAGTATAAGCATAAGTATAAGTATGAGTATGCCTTTAAGCTAAGTATAAGTATACATTTAAGTATAACTATAAGTTGACATATAAGTATACAATTAAGGTAATCTTCCCCGAAGTTAAATAACAAATTGTTAACATCTGTCGATGCTGGCCATATTTCACATGCTCTATTGTATTAATAATGAATGTGTATTTAAGGAATTCGATAATTTTGCAAATTCCGCCAATAAATATCGCATATTGTTTAGAAAGTCCATTTGGCACGAACAGCTTGTTTGGTTTGGCGTAATTTCATTCCTGATATAAAAAATGTGTTCTTGGGAATGAAACTAGTAAAAGATCTATGTAGACCCATATGCTTGAAGGCAGTGAGCAATCAATGTCTTAAGAGCAATGTTAATGACTTGCAGACAAAATGCAACAATTGCCCTTCGGGATATCCCAAAAACGTTGTAGGCTCTTGAGAAACTAATTAACCCAAACAAAACACTGGAGTGATTGATAGCTGCAAAGACTAATGAGCTTCTTGCTAGTCAGAAATAGGAGGCATTTGCACATAAATATTATCGATGAGCAAGTATATCAGAGATCAAAGTAAATTAATTATAGTTTTTCTTTCGATTTACGGAACATTTTATTTTGAGGATTTATTATTTTAATGCTCGATGACTAGTTGCTGTGTGTTGTGGCTTGTGGTATCTTTTAAAATAGGTGCAAAGTGTGTTATCAATTTGATAAGCGACGCTTGATAACACTGTTAAAGCCTGCAAACATATGCAGTCATAAAACCCAAATAGAAATGCCGCTATGCATACTATATGAAATCTGTCAACAAGGGTTAACAACATGGCGAATACGAAATGAGAAGTCGTAAATGCAGCACAAGAGTTAAGGGCGAGCAAGCGGCGCCAGGAGGCGATACAAGGACCTTTTGTAGTGGAAAATCATTAAAACTAGAACACAACAAACACACACGCAGACACACAATCAGAGGCAAACAGCGGGAAATTATCACATGCTGCGCTTCGAGCTGAGCTCAAGGCATAAACATATGTTGCAACAGGGTCACAGACAGAGGCGGAGAGTGAGAGTGAGGAAGCTGTCTATAAGGCCAGAACGAGGCGTTGTCTAGGCGCGCGTCCATCAGCGTCTCCGGTCATGTAGATGAAATTGAAGGTCTAAATATAAAAATCCAAACGAGTAAAAGCAAAACTGAGCCCTAGACGCGCTTTTTGACGTTTTGACGAACTCGTGTCGTCGCGCTCTTTGATGTCAATGATGTTGCCGACGAATGATGATGATGATGATGATGATGCCCAGGATTATTTGTATGCAGCAGGATGGTTTGTGTCAACAACTCGCTAGCAGTGTTTCCTGTACATGATTGGACAAGCATCAGTGTGACTTTTACTATCACTCAGCCCGCAGATCAACGGATGAATCTCAATTGATTTCACATGCAAATCTCATGAAGCGCGGCAGCCATCACTTGCCACTTGTCTGAGCCTAGGAATGGAGTCAAGCTCCTCGATCTCAATCTCCCGCTCCCTCTCTCGTATAACAATCAACAGCAGCAAATAAAATTTATATTTATAACTCGCGTTGTCATAAAAAATGAATATTATTCTGAAATCGACATTAAAAAAATACGATGTGATACTTGAGCTGGTGACAAAATTGAGAATTTGATGGCTGAGCCAATTGACAAACTGTGCCCATATAAATACACATTTATATAAATATATTCTCTAGTTGTATTCCGAATGGTTACGAAAGGCCAATTAAAATGGCACTCAATACAAGACTTTCAATTTGAATATTTTCCATTTGAATGATGAAAAATGTGAATGCGATGGGGAGCAGAGAGAGAGCGCTGGAGGGTAAGTGGAATAGGGGAGCGCAAAGCATTTCTTAATCATGGCCAAAGGCATTCAATATTAATGCTGAAATGTTCGAAAAATTATGATATGCCAACGAAAAAATGTTTAACTCAATTAGAAATGCTCCATTTGGGGTAAGTCGCCGGCAGCGGAGCTCTATAAATTTTGTAACACTTCACGGTAAAGTTGCACGCGGGGCCCTGCCGCGGCAGTGCATCAAAATATTAATAGAATCCTCTAAAGCAGGGCATAAATATTACACCAAAAGCTGCCAAGCTCCATAAACAGATTAGTGGCCTAGCGCCCAGAGACGGCAGTGGAGGGAGACGTTGCAGTTGGAGTTGCTGAGTAGAAAAGGGCCACACGACTCACGGATATATGGCGAATGCATTACGAATGCATCTCGTGAACATATTCGAAAAACGAAAATTGATGTGTGCCTAATTGATAAACAAGACGAAGACGAAGACAACGTTGAATTCGAAAAGGAATGAAACAGACAAAGTCTTAAGACACACAACATTTTCTATATTCCAAAATTTACATTGTGTACACAGTT